TCAGAAGGAAGAGACATTGGACAGAGCAATGGACATCTCCAAGGGTGCTGGACTCTCCATCTTTGGAGGTTTATTAAACACAGTTTGGATGTCCACTTCTCAAGAGTGCTCTAGTTCTATTTTCCAGCATGGCAGGAGGTTGGAGGAAATGGCCTTTGTGGTCCCTTCCAGTTCTCTGACTGTATGATTCTATGATATGATTCTATGAGGAAAACAGGATGGATTGGGAGCTGGGAGGCTTAAGCATTTTGATTTGTTGGTTTGCTTTTCCATTAAGCAAAGAGAAGATGAAGATGTTAGAGGTCTATAAACCTATGGGCAGTTTGGAGAGAAATATCTCACACTGATAATAGCAGAACTTTGGGTCACAACACTAGTTGTTAAATTTGGAGCAGGCAAAAGATGACATAGCTTCATGCTGTGCACAGTTAACTTCTGGAATTCTGTGCTATACATCTAGCAAGGACTGGAAGAATGGGTATGATAGAAGGTAGAATCCCCATGATAATGGGAAATATAGGCTGAAATCCTATGTCTGCTTAAAGACAAAGAAAAATAAACACAGTCAGTTAAACAGACAGCTTGCAGCTACAATCCTGTTTTCCTTGATTAGCATATGCAAGCATTTTTATCCTATTCTTCAGCCAAAAAGCTTCCAAAGATGAAAAATAGTCCCTGCCCTCAAGCTTACAATCATAAAAGTCTAGCATAAAAGGGAAAGGAAGGAGGAAGGAGGAGGCAAAACAAGGCAACATAGGCAAGGGGGTCTTGATAAGAAAGTTCAGCAAGTACTAATTTGCCCTGTCAGGAACTGGGAAATCATATTCCAACATTTTATTGATGAAAAACAACATCAGAGTGTGGTCCAGAGAGCAAAAGATATTAATAAGGAAGACCTCATTAATGAGGTAGACCTCCCAAAGCCATTATTTAGTTTCCAGACCTTCAACCATCTTGGTCACCCTCCTCTGGATATGTTCCAGTTTATCAATATCTGTCTTGAACATTTTGTTCAGAACAGGACACAATATTCCAGCTGAGTTGTAGAGAAAGCAGAATAGAGTTGGTAGCATTACTTTGTGAGATCTAGATCCTATATTCCTGTTGAATCAGCCTGGATTTTTTTCTTCTAGTACTAGATTGTACAAGCAAGGGGATACTGCAGCAATTTGCTTTTGCCTGAGCCTGCAGGGAAGGGCAACATTCCATCTCTCCCACCCCCTTCTGAGTTAATTGAGTATGAGTACAAACTGCTTTAGCTCTTTAAATTCAGTTTACAGCATTTGGAGTAAGGAGAAGATGATAGATGAAAGTGGGAGAGAAAAACTGGGACATTTTAAAATTAGTTGGAAAAGTGGGGTGATGGAGGATTAATTGGAACTGTCCCTGCCAAAATGGAACAGCTGGAACATATGGGGAATCGCCAACAATGTGTGATGAGACAGCTATTTGGCTACTTTGAGAACCTCAAGGGGGGGCACATTTGGCCTGAGGGTCTAATGTAATAATAATAATAATAATAATAATAATAATAATATTTATTTATATCACGCCTCTCTGTGCAACATAACCGGGATGGCTTACGTGATAAAATATGCAATCCCATATACCAATAACCCACCCACCCCTAAATACAATTAAACAGTGTACAGATTAAAACATATCTTAAAATAATAACAAATCAACAATGGCTGTTGCAGAAATCAGGTAATAACAGGTTCAACTTATTTAGTGGTTGGTTATCTATTCAGGAAAGGCCTGCCGGAAGAGATCCGTCTTAACAGCTTTTTTTTAAAGCTATTTAGATTGGTAATGTGACGGACCTCATCTGGCAGGCCATTCCATAATCTGGGAGCAGTTGCAGAAAAGGTCCTCTGGGCAGTTGCAGACAATCTAGTTGTTATAGGTTGCAACAAATTCCTCTTAGAGGACCTGAGTGCATGGGGTGGATTATACGGAAGGGGATGGTCCTGAAGATAGGTTGGACCCAAGCCATTTAGGGCTTTAAATGTACCCCATGTCTGGTCTATAAAGCAAAAAGAAGGGGCAGCAAGGTCTAGGAAACCTCATAAAACTCTAACTACCAAACCAAGGATGTTTTGCCTTTCCACACATTCCAGGAGGAGAGAGAGGATGCTCCAGGGAAAGGAGGATAATAACACCTTGTCTTCATTTCTGGAAGACAGTTACAGGGGAGCACATCCTCTTGCACCCTTTCCTATTCCTCATTTCCCTTTATGCATCCAGCCTTAGGATGGAGCAGCCGCTGAATATCCCAACAGTTCTGCAGGAGAAAAAATCCAATGCACATAGACAAGGCAGGATTCCCCTTTCGTTTCTCTGAGAGAAAAGCCGTTGTGAAGAAAATCTCTTAGAGGAAGGATTGGTTTCCAACAACACACAAAGCTTTTTCTAAGGACCCTGTTCAAAACCAATGCACAGGAGTGGAAATCTGTCTATTCAGCAGGTTTTAGATCCTTTCCTAAGCAGACAATTGTCCTGGATGATAAAAGCCACACAATCAAGCAAGTCTGGGAAAGACTGAATGGAATTTATCTGCCCTCTTGAGAGGACAATGCTTCCCCCCCGCCTTGGTGGCAGAGCCAGCTCCATCTTGGCTGCTCAGCAAGATTAATTTCGCAAAGCGTTCAGGTTGGCGGAGGAACTCCATTTGATCGCAGCCTTTAAATAAAGCTTGTGGACTCAAAGCCATGCCAGGAGATTACAGCTTGGTGGTAAGCACAGGTACAGAATCAACTGCAAGGCTGAATTGTTCCCTCTGAATAATTTTTAGTGTCTTTTTACTGTGATAAAAAATATCAATGGAATAAAGGAAAAAAATTAAAAATTACTGGAATTCACTATTGCGTTTACACATGTGTAACATAGGCATATGCGTCCTTCTTTTCTTCTTTCTGCTGGAATGGTGGCTGGATAGCAATTGGGGTAAAGCAAACCTGGAAAGCTATTCCAAAGGTTCTCTATCTGTGTGTCTGCACTGAGAGGAAAATCCAGTTTATATTTGGGTATCTTTGATCTGCAGCTACCATGGGCTTGTTTACATACATTGAGGTCAACTCATGAAGATTATCCATGTAGTTCTCC